AGGAGGGTTCCCTTTTCACCACATCCCCGCCAACACTTGTCACTTTTTATATTCTTAATCTTTGCCACTCTGACAGGGGTTAGGTGGTATCTCATTGTGGTTTTTATCCGCATCTCCCTTATGATGAGGGATGTCGCGAGCATTTATTTCCTCATAATGCTTTTTGGCTCTTCGTATGTCTTCCTTAGAGAGATTTTTGTTCAGCTCATTTTCCCATCTTTTAATTGGGTTAATCATATTTTTTTCGCATAAGGCACTTGAGTTCCCTGTGTATTCTGGTTATCAGTCCCTTGTCTGAGGCATATTTAACAAAAATATTTTCCCATTCTGAGGGTTGTCGGTTCACACTTGTTACTGTGTCCTTTGCTGTGCAGAAGCTTCTTAGTCTAATATCGTCCCACTCGTCTGTTTTAGGGATTATTGCCTGTGCTTAGAGAGTCTTATTTAAGAAGTCTTTGCCTACTCCAATGTCTCCCAGAGTTTTCCCAGCATTTTCCACCAGTAGTTATATTGTTTGAGGTCTTAAGTTCAGAACTTTGATAAATAGATAATTCTTTAAAATTTTTTTTAAAAAAGAATTTGGTGAAGTTTTGAGACTCTGATCATTAGGCTTTAGGTTATAGAATACCATTTTCCAGTTTTTAGATATATAGGTTTTTATTTTTGGGCTAGATGTTTTCTAATTTTAATTTCTCTTGGATTGAGATTGTTACAGTTTCCATGCTTTGAGAAGAGAGCACAGGGCCAAGATTAGTTACTATTTTGAAGTCTGATTCTCTGCTTGTAGTTGAAAAACCAGAGGAGCTCTCTCTCTAAAGTTGTTCTTGTTTTTTTTTTTTCCTTTTTTTGCCAGAGGGCACATATGCTCCCCAGAGAGACACAGAGACAGAGAGAGGGAGGGGGAAAGTATCCCGTCAAAGGAGTGTGATCGCTCTGCAGCACTGTCTCCCTTTCTTCATGTTGTTGGGATTTTGGGCACTCATGCACACATGCCTGATAGGCTTCTCAAACCATTGGGGCTGTAATTAAAACTATGTGGTTGGCCCTGTGAAATATGGCTCTATTTTAATTAATTAGTTTGAATAATATTAATTTTAATTTTATTTATTACTATTATTACTTTAATTTGACCAGTGATAAATAGGGAATGTGAGAAAGCAGGCTGCCAGATCCAGTATTTGAACCATGGTCAGCCATGTGGGAGTCCAGCACCTTAACCACCACTCCACCTGCTGGCTTAAGGTCTGGCTTTCTTGGGGCTGGCCCTAGGATTGTAGTTTCTTGGGAAAACTATAGTTTATAAAACTGAAAAGATCAGAGCTCTCCTTTTTTTCAATTTATTTATTTATTTTTTTTGAGAGATTTTCGCTATAGGGCGCGTGCGCTTGCCAGACAGAGGGAGACATAGAGACAGAAAGCGAGAAATCACCCCCCAGGGGGGATGGTCACGCCGCAATCCCTTCTCCTCCATTCTCCTCTCGGGATCTTGGGCATGTACGCACATGCACCCGGCGTGAGTTTTAAGCCACCGGGTCCGGGATTCGAACCGCGGTTGACTACGTGGGAGTCCAGCGACATAGCCATTATGCTAACTGCTGGTTCCCAAGATCAGAGCTCTTCTTTAAAAGAGCAGAAATACTTAGGAAAGGGTGCCTTGAAGCCTGAAATGGCCTATTACCCTTGACACCCCCTCACCGTCATAAAGGGCTTGTAATTTTTTTTTCTTTTTTTTTTTGCCATAGGGCGCGTGCGCTCACCAGAAAGACAGAGACAGACAGAGAGACAGAAAGTGAGAAATCACCCCCCAGGGGGGGATGGCCATGCCGCAATCCCTTGTCCTCCATTCTCCTCTCGGGATCTTGGGCACGCACGCATAAGTGCCTGGCGTGAGTTTAAGCCACTGGGTCTGGGACTTGAACTGCGGTCGACTCCATGGGAGTCCAGCGACATAGCCATTACACTAACTGCTGGTCCCTGGGCTTGTAATTGGATAGTGCCACGTCTCTCTGAGTCCTCTGTGT